AGCTCTTCAGCTCAAGGCTAGCGCTCTACCACTTGAGCCACAATGCAACTTCCGGCTTTTTTCTTTTTGCTTATGTGGTGCTGAGGAATCGAACCCAGGGCCTCATGCATGCAAGGCAAGCGCTTTACCACTGAGCCACCTTCCCAGCCCTGCCTTTCTTTTTTGCCAGTCCTAGGGCTTGAACTCTGGGCCTTGGCACTGTCCCTGAGCTACTTTTGCATAAGACTAGCACTCTACCTCTTGAGCCACAGTACCACTTCTGGCTTTTTCTGTTTATGTGGTACTGAGGAATTGAACCTAGGGCTTCGTGCATGCAAGGCAAGCACTTTACAAGGCAAGCCACATTCCCAGCCCATGAATTTGCCTTTCTAAGAGCTTCTTTTGTGGGGGATTGTACAACTTTCTTTTGTATGTGTATGTTTATTGAGTATTTGATTTATAGGTTTTAAAGGTTCAGTTATGTTAAAGCATGTATGAGAATTTGATTCTTTTTGAAAGTGGATAAGCCATTGTGTATGTCCACCATATTTTATCTGTTCATGTATTGACAAACAAGATTTGTTCCTTCCTTTTGACTACTTGGAATAATGCTGTTATGAACGTGACTGTACAAATATCTATTTGAATTTCTGCTTTTAGTTCCTTTTGGGATGTATAGAATAATGTAATTGCTGGATCATATAATAATTCTCCCCCTCCTCCTTTTCCTCCTTTATTCCCCCTCTTCCTGTCTCTCCCTCTTGATGTTTATCTTTTTTAGGGATTTCTCTTTTTTTTCCCTTCCTTTCCTTATTCCTTCCTTCCTCCTCCTCCTCTTCTTCCTTGTTCCCTTCGTCCTTCCTTTCCTCCTTCCCTTCCTCTTTTTGTGCCTTTACTGGAGCTTAAAAATAAGGGCCTGGGTGCTGTCCCTGAGCTTTTTTTTCAAAGCCAGAATTCTACCACTTGAACCACAGCTCCACTTCTGGCTCTTTGGTGATCAATCAGAGCTAAGAGTTTCATGGACTTTCACCTCCTGGCTGATTTCAGACCATGGTCCTTCGATCTCAGCCATATGAGTAGCTAGAATTACAGACATAAGCCACTAGTGTCTGGCTATTCTTTTCTTTTTCTAATGTGGATTCACTACCAGTTTTATTAGGAATCACATGCATACTCTTTTTCTATATTGGCTGAATCTTTTGAAACTCTTACAAGAACTGTACTAGACTCCCAAATTCTCCATATTAATTGTCAACATTTTTTCTTAGTTTTGCTTTTGTTATTCAGTAATAGTCATTGCAGTGAGTATGAAATAATGTATACTTGTGGTTTTCATTTACATTTCCCATGTTGAGCCTCTTTTCATATCCTTATTAGCCATTTATGTACTCATTTTTTCCAGATGTGTCTATTCTACTTCATAGACATTTTAATTGGATTTTATTTGACATATTTTTGGAGGTCATGCCATGTAGTCCAGGTTGACCTTGGTCCTTCTGCCTTGAGTGCTGAGATTATAGGCACACTCCACCTCTTTATTGCTGTATATACGCATAAGGCATTTCAGCATATTGTCTTCTGTCGTTTTTTGGTATTTTAAATTGTGGCATATGAAACTGTCAAGTTAGACAAATTTTTATTGTTTACCTCTGTCCTTTAAATTTCATAGAGCCATTCTGAGGAAGAAGGAAAGGGAGAAGAGGAGGATGAAGATGAGGAGGAAGAGGATGAAAATGATGATTCTAAGTCTCCTGGAAAAGGCAGAAAGAAAATCCGGAAGATTCTTAAGGATGACAAACTAAGAACAGAAACCCAAAATGCTCTTAAAGAAGAGGAAGAGAGACGGAAGCGTATTGCTGAGAGGGAGCGTGAGCGAGAAAAATTGAGAGAAGTAACAAACATTTCTTTTTCAACTATTACTTGCAGATATATAATATTGTTATATTTCAGTATTTTGAGAATTGAGTTGTAAACAACTACAGATTTCTAGTTAAAACTGTTTTTTACCTATAAGAAGTTTTTGTATCTTCATTAGGTTGTTACAGTATAATTAGATACACAAGAAGATCTGAATTTTTTTGCTAGACCAGGGGCTTGAACTGTGGGCCTGAGTGCTGTCCTTGAGCTTCTTTTGCTCAAGGCTAGCACTTTACCCCATGAACCACAGCACCCCATCGGGCTTTTTCTGGAGATAAGAGTTTCATGGGAAATAAAGGGTCTCATGGACTTTCCTGCCTAGGCTGGCTTTGCACTGTGATCCTCTGATCTCAGCCTCCAGATTATCTAGGATTAAAGGTGTGAGCTACAGGCACCTGGCTTAATTTTCTTTATTTTTAAGTTTTAATTAAAAAAGTTATTTTTGGCTTCTGGGCCTGGGAGCCTGGCTCCTGAGCTTCTTTTGCTCAAGGGTCTACCACTTGAGGCATACATAGCTCCCCTTCTGGCCTTTTCTTTGATTAGTGAGAACTAAGAATCTCATGCACTGTGCTACCTGGGCTGGGTTCCAACTGTAATCCACAGATCTCAGTTTCTTGAGTAGCTAGGATTACAGGTATGAGCCACTAGCAACGGCTTGAAATTTAATTACCAGAAATGATGATAGTATACTTGGGTAGAAAAATGTTCATCTTTGCTTGCTTGCTTGTTTGGTTGTGTTATGATTTGAATCTCGGGCCTCAAGAGCTCTGCCACTTTAGCCACACCTCCAGCCTGGAATGTTAATATTATATAATTTACTCATAATGTATTTCTTGTTTTGTGGTGCTAAGACTTTGAACATGCTAGGCAAGTACTCTACCACCAAGTTATATCCCTAGCCCAAGGAAGGACCTTTGTTTGTATTGTAAGAATTTTCAAATATTCACATGCAATATTGCAGTAAATCCTGTGTACCAAATTTCATGAGCCAAATTTCATCCGTTACAAACACAGGGCCAGTCTTAATTCCTTTATTTACAAACCTTCAGATAATTTTGGAGCAAATCCTATCCTAGAATATAATGTTAGAAGATGAAGATCTTTTAAACATTACTGTAATTCTGTTACTATGGTTTGGTTTATTTGTTCACTTAAGTAATAGTTTTTGAAAACTAGTTGGTTTACTTCAGGACTGTATTTGGATACTATATATATATATATATATATATATATATATATATATATATATATATACTTTCCTTTCTCAATGCCACCACTCTACCACTTGAACTACAGCTTTACTTCTGGCTTTTTGGTGATAGAAAAGTTGGAACAATCTAACCTAATTGTTACTGAGATGTCTGCTTGAAACCTATAAGTTTAATTGCTGGCATTACGGTAGCAATTCCAAATCCTTTTGTGGGTTTGACTTTGGAAGGCTTAGAACCTAGACTTCATCCAGCACTATTGGACCAGAAATATTGGATGTGTTGTGTGGGATACATCTATAATTGTGGAAAAGCTCCCTTGCTAAGATTGATACTGTATCCTCACTTGGCAGATTTCTATGACCTTAATTGTGAACAACTCCTTTTTTTTTTATAGGTCATAGAAATTGAAGATGCTTCACCCACCAAGTGTCCAATAACAACCAAGTTGGTTTTAGATGAAGATGAAGAAACCAAAGAACCTTTAGTGCAGGTTCATAGAAACATGGTTATCAAATTGAAACCCCACCAAGTAGATGGTAAGAGATTACTTCATGGTTCTATTATTTTTAGTTAGACTTTTAGCAGTTTTTCATTTTCTCTGTGTGCTTCACATTCCTCTAAGTCTTGTAGATCCCTTGGTCCCTGCTCTTTGGGAGCTCATAAACAAGTGAGGAAGAACCTAGTTGGCCAATGGTCAGCTGCAAGTGTTTTAAGCAAGGAAGGTACAAGTAAAAGTGTGGCTTATAAATGGGTGGTAATAAATAGCAAGTGGGGTTCACTAATCCACAGTGGTTGGCTAAAGCCTGGAGGAAGATACAGATCACTTTGGGAAATGTTACTCTAGCATTTTCAGCTTTTTTTGTTGTTGTTGTGGATCTTGAACTCTGGGCCTGGGCTCTGTCCCTCAGCTCTTCAGTTCAAGGTAAGTGCTCTACCACTTGAGCCACAGTGCCACTTCAGGTTTTGTGGTGGTTAACTGGACATAAGAGTCTCACAGACTTTCCTGCCCAGGCTATGAACCATGATTGTCAGATCTCAGCCTCCGAAGTAGCTAGGATTATAGGTGTGGGCCACTGGCACCTGGCTCAGCTATGTTTTATTTTTTCAGTCCTGGGGCTCGAACTCAGGGTCTGGGCACTGTCCCTGAGCTTCTTTTGTTCAAGGCTAGCACACTATCACTTGAGCCACAGCACCACTTCTGGCTTCATGCATGCTAGCCAAGCACTCTACCACTAAGCCACATTCCCAGCCTCAGCTATGTTTTTAAGTATGTTTTTAAGCAATATTCCTACATTAGTGTTAAAATGCTCCTCAACTACCTTATTATATTCCTGCTCTTTGCTTGGTTAGAGTAGTTACTAGGTCAGTTTTGAATGTGTACATGAATTAATTCAGAAGGGGGAAACCACACAATTCTAACTTCTTGGGTTGGTAGCTTTCTTTCTCCACGGTTGAATAAACAGGAAGTGATGAATTATCTCCTGGCATTTCCCCCACAATGGGTTTAATAAGTTTGTAAGTATATTCGATAATAAACTGTTTCTCTTTCTATAGTATTTTTGTTTTAAGGAATACTTTCTTGTTTAAAATTTCTGTTAGTATACATTAGTTGTACAATGGGTCTTCATTGTGATATTTCCATCATGCATATAACCTCATCCCCTCTGTCACTGTCACTTATTCTCCCTCTCACTTCTTAGAACAATTTCATCAAGTTTCATTGTTCTCTTTTCATGCATACATATAAAGTACTTCAACTATATTCCCCTTCTTCCTACCGCTTATACTCACTGTCCAGCAGAGCCTATTTTACTTTCCTGACATTCATTTATTACTATTAATTGTGCTAGGGGTTGCACCATGGTGTGGTGTTTTGCATATGCATATATTTTCATCAGACTATCTGTCCCTTATTTCTCTGTACTTTCTCATCTTTCCAGCCTTTATTGTTCAATAGCTTTCAGTGAGATTACTTATGCCATATTTATCCATAGACACAATGCATTTCCACTTTATTGAAATGTTCTTATGTCACTTTGGGACCATCTCAGGATGTGAAAAACATCTGTGAATGCCCTATTAATGTGTATGTGCCGTGTCTTGTTTCTAATGTATCTGGAGGAAAAAAAATTCATTTGCCTTTAAAAATTTCTTTACTTCTCAATGTTGTTTTCTTTTTTTGGTCTTGGGGCTTGAACTCTGGGCCTAGGCACTGTCCCTCAGCTCTTCAGCTCAAGGCGAGCACTCTACCACTTGAGCCACAGCACCATTTCTGGTTTTCTGGTGGTTTATTGGAGATAAGAGTTTCACGGACTTTCCTGCCTGGGCTGGCTTTGAACCTTGATCCTCAGATCTCAGTCCCCTGAGTAGCTAGGATTATAGTCGTGAGCCACCGGCACCCAGCTAGTGTTTTTTTTTTTTTTAAATACGATTTCCTAGCAATTTTAATTGTTTCTGATGTGCATATATGGAAAGAGTTTTAACTTCGACTTACCAACTGAACTTACTGAAACTTGTTTTTAGGTGTCCAGTTTATGTGGGACTGTTGCTGTGAGTCTGTGAAGAAAACAAAGAAGTCTCCAGGTTCAGGGTGCATTCTTGCCCACTGCATGGGCCTTGGTAAGACTTTACAGGTAAGAAAGAAGTACCATGAAAATATCCCGTTTTGTGCAGGTGTGAATGTACAGTAGATTCTGTTATGTTCTTGGTACAGGTGTTGCTGCAGATGAAGCAGTGAAGACAATAACAAGATCTCTCCTTAAGAGTCTTATTTTCTAGTTGGGAATAAAATAAGAAGTGTACTTGTAGGTTGTAAATGATAAAGGAGGACTCAGGGATAAGGAAGGCATCTTGAAAGAGGTGATATTTGAGCACAGACCCTAATGAAGTAAAGCTGTCAACTGTAAGGACTCATGGGAAAATTCACTTTTCTTCCTTTTGGAGGTACTGAAATTTGAACTGCAAGTGCTCTACCACTTGAGCCACACCGCCAGTCAGAAATCAACTTCTTGTACAACTTTTAGCAGTCTGTGATGCACAGTAACAAGAATGTAAAAATATTTTTCACTGTTAAGATTACTAAATATTCTAGGCATAGAGTGTAGTTCACTGGCAGAAGGCTTGTGTAACATGCACAAGGTCCTAGCTTTAGTTCCCAGTACTTCCAGGAAAAGAAAGTTGCATTTTTTGGGGGGGGGTCCGGTCATGGACCTGAACTCGGCCTGGGCGCTGTCCCTCAGCTCTTCAGCTCAAGGCTAGCACTCTACCACTTGAGCCACAGCACCACTTCCAGCTTTTTTTTTCTGCTTATGTGGTGCTGAGGAATCGAACCCAGGGCCTCATGCATGCAAGGCAAGCGCTCTACCACTAAGCCACCTTCCCAGCCCCCAGAAATTTGCATTTTTAAATGGCCAGAGTTGTACAAATGATGTGAGATTAGTGAAAAAATATAATTTCAGACCATAAGGTAATTCTTAGAAGATTCAGCTAGTCAAAATTATGCCAATGGAAAAGTACTCAAATACTCTTCTAAACGGGCAGTAATATTTTCTGAAGGGTTTTTTGAGACATTCTGTGAAGGCCACAAAATTTGTTTTGGTGTGACATCTTTGTATTATTTATATTGATCATAGAATCATGAAAACTTTACAATTGTAAGGATCTTATAGATTACCTAGTTGAATGTTCTCATTTTAAGTTACATTTCTTTCCCAGTATCCTTATGTGGGTTGGGAATTAGACAATTATGCTTGGTTGGTTGGCTCATTGTTAAACACAAAACAAAAGTATTAAGATGGCAATTTGTTTTCTTGTAGGTGGTAAGTTTTCTTCACACAGTCCTCCTGTGTGACAAATTGGATTTCAGTACAGCTTTAGTGGTTTGTCCACTTAATACCGCTTTGAATTGGATGAATGAATTTGAGAAGTGGCAGGAGGGATTAAAAGATGATGAAAAGCTTGAGGTATTACATTTTAACTGTTTTCTATTAAAATAATTTAATGAACTTGATACACTGTTTTCATTCCTTTGAATTCATATTTCATTGGGAATATTTAGTATTCATACATTTCAATAGCTATAATAACTGCCCTTATTTTCCCATACAAGGTCTCTGAGTTAGCCACTGTGAAACGTCCTCAGGAGAGAAGTTACATGCTTCAGAGGTGGCAAGAAGATGGTGGTGTGATGATCATAGGGTATGAGATGTACAGAAATCTTGCTCAAGGAAGGAATGTAAAGAGTCGGAAACTAAAAGAAATATTTAATAAAGCTCTAGTTGATCCAGGTAAGGTGTTAACAAGCATTGACATGAAGAAGTATATTAAAAATTAAGTGGTTTTGTTTTATGGAACGAATACTAATATTTCATTGGTCCTTCTGCTTTTTTTTGTGTGTGTGTGTGGGGTCTGGTCATGGGGCCTGAACTCTGGGCCTGGGCACTGTCCCTCAGCTCTTTAGCTCAAGGCTAGCGCTCTACCACTTGAGCCACAGCACCACTTCCAGCTTTTTCTGTTTATGTGGTGGTAAGGAATCGAACCCAGGGCCTCATGCATGCAAGGCAAGCACTCTACCACTGAGCCACCTTCTCAGCCCGGTCCTTCTGGTTTTGACTTTTTTGGTTCTTAGTATCAGCACCACTTCAGTAAGGTCAAATCATCTGTCTGTTCTGTTTGTGAATGTTGACATTTTTTTTTCTGAGTCTGCAAGTTTTCAGGGGAGATCTCATAACAGTAAAAACTCTCTTCACATTTGAGTGTGGTGATGTACCCTTTTATTTACAGCACTAATGAGGCTGAGGCAATGGATCCTGAATTCCAGGCCAGCTTGGATTATATTATGAGACCCTGTGTCCAGATAGAAAGAAAACCTGCTAGCTCTAGAATTCTCTCCATACTTCGATATTCTGAAAATAGTTGTCTTTTTCCAATGTGCTAGAAGAATTGCTGCTAGTTTATCTATATTGAAGACATCGCTATGGGAAGTTCATAT